GTTTAGCGGTTGCTACGAGTCCAAGGTTGGAAAGTGTTGCCATCGACAAACAATCAGAAAATGAATAAATTAAAAATGAACAGCAAAATAGTTCATAATTAGATGCATCATGTTAACGTGACATGTGGGGGGAAAAAAAGGAGACTAACACCAGAAATGCTGAAGTGTCCCTTTAAGTTTGAACAACGAGAAGTGAGCCTTCATTATTTTTCCGTGGTGCTAGCCGATCAACAACAACAAAAAAAGACAAATCAGTTCATTTGCTGCAACGCTGGCAAAAAGATCCGCGCAACAGAAGCAGCCGTGTTCATATGGTGCAACACTCTCAAGCTTACAGAGTCAATTGGCTGCTAATCCCACTTCATATGGTGCAAATATGAAAACACACATGTACTTATGGTGCAATAAGGGCAGATTGTCTCTTTGAATTCTATGGTGCAACTTGAGTACTGCCTTCAGTTATCGGCCAAGGCTGTGCCAAAGGCTCCGTCCAAATGGGACAACTGCTCTTCCTGTCCTGCAGAAGCTATGCAAGTCTCCGACGCAGGCAGATGTGCTTAGTGTACACACAACCAACACACACCGACACACACACACACACAGGGTTTTCCTCTGCAGCAGGGAGATATGCTTCATAAACAAATACAAAAGTAGTGGGATGTGTCCCTACCTCACTGCACACACACAACACACACCAATCTCCAATAATCCCTTACCCCTTTATAATTTGGGAACAATATTCATATGGTGCTATCGAGTAAAGCTGGATGGTTTTTTTGTATGGTGAAGAATTTAGCCAAATATGTTTAGAAGTGTTCCGCATTCAGACGGATTGATGATTCGAATTCTGGGTTTCCTCATGTAGAGAGTGCACGTTAAAAACAGCAACCGTCTCTGTGAGAAAAAAAAAAAAAGAGCGACACATAAAAGCTACAATGCCTTATCCGCTCGGCTGAAGATGAGTGGTAGGAGGGTGGAGCTACTTTTTTTTTGGGGTACGCTCCGGACATGCACTGTACATTAAAGCATGGGTTCAGTGTCAGAAATCAAAAAGGCATATACTGTGTTAGCACGTCGTCCTAAATAAACTGTGCCATGTAGAGAACACACTCAAGGCATTTCCTGTTCGTTTCACAGATTGTGCTCGTGAATTTCTTGCATGAATGTTCTAGATCCGAGGGCACAACGGTTTGAAGAGTCACATGTGCTTCTGGGTTGTTAAAAGGGAGATTTATTTTTGAGCTCCAGTCCCCCGCTAGATTGTCCCCTCTGATCTTTTAACCCCCCCGAAAACCACGGCCCCTTTGCACCCAACAGCCAATCAGAGATCAGGTACAGCCAAATCAGGTCGGACACAACCAAATAATACTTCTTTTTAACGGAAGCAGACTCAACTCTTGACCTCATAATCAAAGTGCAGGTATCATCACCCAGCAGTCAAAAACTCATCCACACTGGGTCTACAGTTGAGTCTGCACCGCTACAAATGAAAAGCTTTTTTTTTTTTTTTCCACCCAGAAAAACCAGAGCCTTAGCCAGGCCCACTCAGTATGAAATTAAAATCCAGTCAGTGTATGGCGTTCACAGCTATGCAAAGTTACAGGCAAAGAAGGTTCTGGGCTTAGATAACCTTTACAAAAAAAAAATATCACTAGTCTCATGTGTTTTGCTTTTGCCTTTTTTTTTTGTTCGTTTGCAAAGATGAAGTGATGAAAGAAGAAAACCACAATGTGCACCAACATGTGATGTACCATTTGTTTACATTTTTTAAGCTTTTTGCATTTGTTAATGATAATTTGGTCACTTTTTACTGACTTATTTTATATTTTTCTCTATCAAGATTGTCCTTTGATGGGTTAAAAAAAATTAGTCGGGAGGGGAAAACTTGTGTAATGTTCACCTTTGGGAATAACTGGGACGAACACCGCCTCCCGACTGAGGAATGTGCATCTTATTGTGAAAATTCAAACCAGAAAGTTATTTTTCGTTGGATAAACACATAAATGTTCCACTATCAGGGTCTGCAAAGCATATGAGGCCTGTGGTAAGGCTGTGTAAGATGTGTGTGTGTGTGTGTGTGTGTGTGTGTGCGAGTGCAAGCTATGTGTCACTAATGCTTCATATGCTTTTTTTTTTAGCCAAAGTTTTACTTGCTTGGTCCAGAGCTGTGAAAGTATCATTACTCGTCATAGTTTTGTGGAACTTGAGGCCAGACGCTAAGCTGTGTCTGATCTCAGACCAGTTTCTACCAGATCTGAGTCCAACAACAATTCTTTCAGTTTGGAACCGACGAGGTTTCGGGGGTTGTTTTGGCACAAATACTCAGACTTAATCACAGAAAATGAGCGGAAAGGATTTCAGTGGTTTGACTCAGGTTTGGATTCTACAAGCACAGGGCAGGGTCAAACTAAACCTTAAAATGGATGTATCTATAAGATGTACCATGAGCTTTTATTTTGTCGGGGTCATGCTTTTCTACTGTGTTCTTCAGCTTGGAAAAAAAAAAAATAAGTAGCTCTAGCAAAATTTGATGTGCAAAAGTAGATTTTATTTTCTCGTGGTTGGCATTTTGATTGTAAATACCTTTTCCTGGTAATCGTCCTCAGTTGGATCTATGTTCCATGGGTTTGCTTAGATGGCTCTTTCAAATGTAATGATAGTAAATGTTCTTTATAAATATCCAGAATGTAAGACGAGAGAAGAAAAATACAGCTCGACTGGAAACTGTGTTTTTGTAGGAATCTGTGCCATCGTGTTGTCTTGAGTATAAGCACACTGATATTAGATCTGTAGACGGGATGAAGCTTTTGGAGGTGATCTGCCAGACAGCCGGAACCATGCTTTGGTTCAGTTTCTTTCTAAAAATGTCAAATTTTAAACAAAGTGATCAGTAATTTGGTTGTTATGGCTCTAAAAAGATCTCCTTTTAATTTCTCTGCAAAAAAAAAAAGAAAAAAGAAAAAAAAGGTTCTCCATTAGCACTGGTTATTGAAAACGAAACAATTTTACTCATGAGAAGTTTTTGATTTTGCAAAAATGAGCACAGCATTTGGCCACTGGCTAAGTATTTAGCATCAGTTAGCCTAAAAGATGGAAGCAGCGAGTAACAGCTAACTAGCTTGCTAGCTAGCTCTGTCAAAAGATGGCAAGAAGTGCCAGGAAGAAGTGGCTGCTTCCTGAAAAACTTTTCACATATCTGGTTGGGTGTGGATTAAACTATTAAAAAAGATTCAAAGCATTACTTTACACATATTACTGTGCACATTATAAAACAAAAGAAAGTCAGACAGAGCCAAGTCATCTATTTCCCCTACTTCGAGTGTGTATGCTAATGACTACTTAGCTAGTTAGCATGCTCTTTCTAAAACATGACAACCAGCAGAGTCCACAAGGTTGCAGCTTTATGGGAAAAAAAATAAAAATCACTTGTTTGGGTGTGTACTGATGCTGGTTTGCACATTAAAAAAAAACAAACAAACAAACAAAGTATTAAGTAGGGAGCCAGGCTAGCTGCTTCTACTTTACATGCTAACGGCTAATTAGCCCGCTCTATCCGGAGATGGCAACAAGCAGAGAGAACTTCTGAAAAAAAAAATCACATTTATGGCTGTAAATGGATTAAACTTGTTAAAAGATTCAAAGTATTACTTGTTTTAAATTTAGATGCTTAAAAAAGAATTACAATAAAACTTTGAATCGAGTCAGGCTAGCTGTTAGTCTAGCTAGTTAGCTTGCTCTGGCAAAAGATGATAAACGACAAAGACTGCAATGTTTTTGCTTTCCAAAACAGAAAATACATTCACATATTGGGTTGTGTATTGATTAAACAAACAACAAAATAATTTTAAAAAGTAAATAAATTAAGACAGACCTTGGCTGGCATTTTCCTCTGCTTCCAGTTTGGTGCTAAATGAATCTCCAGACTTTAGCTTCATAAAAGTGGTATTTAGCTTCTGCAATTTTCAGTCAAAATAAGTGTAAAGTAAAATTTCCAAAATTTCTAAAACAAATTGGACCAATCATTCACTGACAATACATGGGTTTGCATTAGATGTAAGCATAACATTGGCAAAATGTTTCACCCAAATTCCAAATATTATAGTAGCTATAATAGCTTAGCTAATATTAGCTTAGCATAAAGACAGAAAGCTGCGATTAAAAGCTAGTCTGGCTCCAACCCAAAGTATTTGCCTACCAGAAACTTGTTATTCCACTTGATCTTGTTTAACCAGGCTAGCTGTTTCCCTTAGTTTCAAGCTAAGCTAGTCAGCTAACACAAGCTGGGACATAACAAACAAATAAATAAAAATCAAACACTTACTTGATTTCTTACCTGAGCTGTCTGGCGATCATCTCCCGGCTTCACTGTAGAAATGATGGCTGCCGTCATAAACCGTGTTCAAACCACACCTGCGTCAGCTCATAAACACACCATTCAGGAATCTTCTGGTCTCTGGGGATGGATTTCCCAAAAACTCACACCAAATATCTCAGACCAACCAACAAACGAGGCGGGAGAGAAACGAGAAGACACGTTGCGTATCTCCGGTTTGTCTGTGTATTCTGTGTCTATGATAGTGTCAAAGCATTCTGGGGAAGAGTTGAATGATATTTTCAATGGCTCTAGGTGGCCAGCATTAGGAAATGTGTTATTTTTGTTACAATACCTCCTGAAAATAAAAAAGTCTATTTATCTGTGAAGAGACAAAGATTTACAATAATACAGATGACTACATAGAAATGATGACAGATTTTAAATGACGTAAAAACAGATATAAATGAAAACATGTACAGTTCATTTGGTTTTGAACATGATACAGAAATGTATATGCGTCAGTATTGAGTTTGATTTTATATATTTACCATTTTATTACATTGTAATGTTGTGACTGCGATGGAGAAAAAAAAAAAAATATAAAGGAATATAAATTAATTTTTCCAAATGTGTGTCGCTTATCCTTTCCGTTCTCACGTTGAATCACAACACAAAAAAAAAAAAGTCCCCATTTCCGTTCGCCTTTATTTATTTATTTTAAATCTCATTATATCACACAAATCTCTCTACAGGCCAGGCACAATTTGCATAGTACAAGAAGGACTTCTAAAAACAGTAACCTTGAGGATCAAACACAAATAGAGTGCAAAGATGCTGCATTTAAACACACAAACACAACCACTGACACCAGGTCATACTGCATATCGATACCACTGACCTGAATTTGACTCGAGAATTCCTTCATGGCACAAAATTGCGCAGCGTTGAAACGAGGTGAAACTGGGGAGGCAGTTTCTCTTTCTGTAATCTAAAATGTTTACCCTCCTCATTAAGGTGAGAACTTGCCTGTGACCCGAAACTTGTGGTATCAGGTGTGAATTTTTAACAGTGCAAGAGAGGGCGTTACAGTTACAGCCAGTCGACCATAGTCTCATTTCATGATTGCATCAAGGCATTAGAAATAATCTTGAAGTCTAAAAAGTGCAAAAGTGTAGAAGGAAGAACAGAACATGGCAAGAGTTTGGACATGGAATATTCCCTCTTCACTTGTTTCAGTACTCAGACTTTAAGTTTCGACAAACTAAGAGCTGCACGAAGACTATATACATATGACATGGTTGGAGAAGCATGCAAGCAATACTGCACTTTAAGAGAGGGTCTGCAATATTCTATGATGTGGTTGTTAAATCCAATGAAAAGAGCAAAACATAAATCTGACTCAGTATTTTCCATCATCTCCTGGGCGTTGTAGTTTGTCGCAAATGTTCCTCAAATGTTCATTTACAGCAACTATGATCAGATGTATGTGCTGCAAATGATCGTGGTAATGAAGGAATATGCCACCCAGTGCACCAGTAGTTTTCAGATAACAATGGCGCTCTATGTCACACAAGATATGGCCGGCGGTGGATTCGCACAAAATGCTCGTTAGTTTGGTACATTCATTGCTGGGTTTGGTCTTTTCATTGGATTTGTTCATACTAAGAAAAATGCAGAATATGACCTGACCTTTCCTATGACCTTGAAGCAGCAATATGTCTCGGTTTTTGATCCCTGCAAACAGCCGTGTTCCCCGTCTAAGTACCTCCAGACAGACGTCAGACCTGTGGCTGCTCACTTGCAATTCAGTTAAATACATAAAAAAAAAAAACAAAGCCTCCTAAATGATCTTTCAAGTCTCGCTGAATTTGATCTTGTGCTATTTTTAAAAATCTAGGTGAACCAGTGCGTAGCTATCCCACCTAACGCTAATAATAGGTGCTATATTGCTTTAATTTCGTGATACAAGATGATCTTTTTTTTCAGGCGATGATTATCTGGAGCATCTGTTGTGCATCTTAATAATAGTCTTTGGTATCACTCACTTAAAGAAGCACAGATGGACGCCTGACACATCTACACTTGAAGTGAACAATTTGCATAGAAATCTCCCACTGAAAACACGCTTTCACCTTGGCGAGCCATTAGTCGTCATTATTAATTCATTTCCCTTTCAAGCATGCAAATGAAACTCAAAAGCATTATTCTGCAGACTTCGGTATTGATGTAAAAAATAAACTCAGAAACTGACAAAGAAATCTAAAGAATAATGATAATAATTAAATCTCAGCACCTGACTGAGAGTCAGTATAAATATCAAATGAGCTACTGGCTCCCTCTGTTGACAAACACGTGACACTACAACTAAAAAAAAAAAAAAAGCGAGCATAAAGAAAAAAACAATTCAAAACACAATTCCCACAGAAAAATATACAAGTAATCTCTTCAATAAGTAGCTCAAACTGAAGCTTTCTTTTCTTCTCAAAGAATAAAATCTCAATAATATTGTTGACAATGCTTCCTCAATGCAAATTACATTCCACAGCTGAACGCCACTGGCTCCTCGTCACATGTTCAAGTCCAGGGAATCTTAACAACAGTAACTTTATGGACAACCCTCCACACACTACCTCCACAAGTAGGCGTCAGGATGCCTGAAGGCTTTTGTAACAAACAATCTTTTCACCGCGTGTGTTACGAAACATGAACACACTCATACCGGAGAGAAACAGGACAGTAAAGTGCAGCATGTTGAATACCTATTGGAGCACAAACACAGACGGCGATCGGTGGTTCACTCCAACAAGGGGTCGTCGTCCTCGTCGTCGTAGCCGACCTGCAGCCTCTGGAAGGCTCGTGGCCCTGCACGGCGGCGGGCGCTCAGGAACCTGAACAGAACTGAAGAGAAAAAGTCCTATTAAGCCCCGTTTAAACATGCAACATGGAACACTGCTGGGCTGTTCAGTCCTTTAAAGTGACGGCATCCTGTCATTCAGCCCCTTTCACACAGTTATCCGCAATATTTGTCATTCACGTGAGTCAATACACCAAATGATGATTAAAACACCGTATTGCAAAAACAGACGAATACAAATTATAGCAGCTTATTAAAGTGTCCAAATAACTAACAGCCCTGTTTATCATTTCATAAACAGTAACAATGAGAGTTCAGGACTCAAGCTGAGGACAAAATATAAACTGCAGCTGATAAACTCTGTGTGACAGCTCACCTGTCTGAGATGAAGAAAAGTTCACAGCTGCTGTTAGATTCTGATCAGCACTTAGTCCATGTCTGGATAATTTACATTTAAACTTAATTAAAGAAGTTACTTCTGTTGCTCTGAGCATAAATGTTTCTCTGCTCTCTCTCCTACTGCTGATGATTGTAACAAACTACTAACAAATAGTCCTGTTTGATGTGAAGACATGTAGCTCTACACAGTGTGACCTGGTGTTTTCTCCTGGTCCGGACTGATCCGCTCTCTGGGATAATTTATAATTATAACAATGTAATCACTTACCAGTGCTGTTGTTCAGTGTGCAAATGTGCGCACTTTCAAGACGCATACATGGATCCTGCTGCTGTCTGATGCTGCAGTTACTAAACAAACTCAGGCCCAACTGTTCCAAACAACTGGAAAAAACACTCTTCAGCATCTCTTAATTGTTATTATTTAAGCTGGTAGTGTCTGTTTTTATTGCGATAAGGTTTTATTATTATGGACATTTAATTTCATTGCCTGAAAGATTTGAAATTGTGGCGTGAAGTCTGTAAAAAAAAAAGTATGTTGTGGTTTTTGCACACAACCTGTGTATTAAGCATCTCATGTTTTCAGATGATTATTGGTGCAGAATTGTGGAAAAATCCTCCCTTAAATAACTTCACAAAGTACTGCTGCTTGTGCGTGTCTGTCCGGTAATATGACGGCTCGGGTCACACTTGTGTTAAAAAAATTATACGAAATTTGAACCTAGTAAGAGTGACTGCGCGACTTTTATGGATCAGCGATCTGGGTGCACATTCACACATGCAGCCGAGCTGTTGAGTTACTGTCTGATTAACGGAGCAGAGAGTTTGTTAATCTGACTGAGACATGCAATGCATTCATGCTGACATGTCTCAGTCAGAGCAGAAAACCAGTTCTTAATAAATGAACTGCTTTTTTTCCCCCAAAGACAGTTTGATAACCCTCTGTCTTTTGTTGGGTTCTCCTGAGTTCTATTCTAGGTCCTCTTCTATTCTCTAACAACACCTTGGGGCATGTAACACACACACACAACATAAACGGATATGCTGTTGCAATCATCCAGCCTTACCAGTGACTGCAGTGAGGACCAGCAGGACGCCCACCACCAGGCCGATCACTGTGGGGGTGTCCCAGCAGGTCTCTGCAGACAGCAGGCACCGAGCCTGGGTCAGGGTGCCGTTGTTGGGCCGCGGAGGCACCGACAAGAGGTGGCACATGAGCGGGTAAACGTCCAGGCTCTGTAAGTTGCGGATTTTATAACCCTGACGGAAGCTGGGCCCTGTTGCTGCCAGGAAGGGGTGCATGCTGGGAAGGGAGTTGTCGTAGCCGTGATCGCCCACTGAGGGAAGAAATGAGAGGATGAGCCGTTGGGTGGAAGTACGATTAGCTGTAGTTTGTTCTTATTCTAAACAAATATCTGTCAAAACCTTCATCTTATTGGAAATTTGCTCAGAAGCTAAATGACTGGTAATGCATAGGTCAGTGAACTGTCTCCATCACAATGAGAAATCAGAATAAAGGAACAGTAATTAAGACACGAACATCTCAGCGACTTGTTCCCTCGCTGCACTATGGTCCAGCCCTCCTCAGCAATCAGTATGATTGGCTGGACGCGCTCATTGTTCCGGTAGTGCAGCCGATCAGGGATGGCCTTCTTCAAATATGCCGTCATGTGAGCGTGGCACTTGCTTAGTATGTCGAAGACAGCCTGTGTGTCTGCATAGGACAGAAATGAGCAATGCACTGAAAACACCACTGGAGAATGCAAATTTGGGATTAGTCATAGAAATACTGCTTACTGTTTTTGGGTATGAGCGCTGCGACAGGTGTCAAGTCCACCAGTGTGTAGTTGTCGGGGTGCAGGCAGTCGTCCAGCCGTATGATGCGTTCGGGCGAGCACTGGGCCATTCCGTGGTCGCTGGTTATCAGGACGTTGACGCGACCCAAGAGGCCGGTGCGCTTCAGCTCCGACATCAGCAGACCGATGTTGTCGTCGACCTGATCGCATGCAAACAGGCACATCCATCAATAACTGTCTGCATCAAGCAAATTCAGTTCAGTACAAATTTCATTAGGTGTCGTGAGCCACTGGATCATGCCAAGGTTATGCTGTTGTAGCAACAAATTTCCATATTTATTAAAATTTTATGGATGTAAACAGGTTTTTCTCAAGCAAGACAACAGATTTGTTGGCACAAAATATGTGAAAGGACACAAACAGGTCAACATCCAACACAGTAACATAGACAAAGAATCACAGGTTATGTAGCAGGCAATTTGAAAAAAAGACATTCCAATAATGTTGAAAATGACTCTGAGCATGAAAATTGCATCTAACTGACGAGTGGACATATATGCATCAATAGCATATAGGGCTGGGCCATATCATATCGGGCAAGGTAATACCAGTGTCATGTTAGGGGATGATATGTAATGGGAATATTGCGATAAAATTTGAGTGGCATGCCGTTGTTTTCGTTCAGTCTAATGCACATGGAGCGAGAAGCATGGCGGCGACCGAGGAGGAGGGTGAATGCAGCACATCGACCGACACAGTGGGGCTGGACCCAAATATTGGAATATTCAATCGTTGCGGTGGTGACCGGATAGCAATTTTGAACTGTGACTGCTATCCTAAACTGGCATTAGTACTGCCTGTGCATCTCCTCCAACCTCTCCCCTCACCCTGCCCTAATATGTTACACAGGGTTTACCTAAATGTGTGGGTCAAGATACAGAGCTTTTCTGAACTTTTAAAGCGCCCATATTATGCACATTTACTGCTTTCTGATTGTATTAGAATATGTGCAGAGTCTTCATGTTAAAAAAACACTGTACATTGGTGCAGCAGCTCTTTTCACTTTGCTGTCCTTCATTGTAGCTGCATACGCACCAGGAAACCAAATTGAGCACAGAATAAGTGCTGATTATGAGAAGAGACTCTACAGCAAGATTCTGTACAGTCTCATCAAAATCTTATAATTCATCATTACAAGAGTCGGAACTGAAGTAATCACTGCAGAGTCTGCAGTGCGGACGTTGCATGATGGTGCTCAAACAAAGTGGGAAATCTACATTCTCCAAATATCCTGTACTATCTTCGCCCACTGTGATTGGCAGGCCTCATAATCCAATGATATGGTGCAACAGTGGAATCTCCAACTAACTGATATGTCTTGTAAAAAGTGCAAAGTCACAGCTTTTCAGAAACTCCAACAGAAGCTCTTCTGCGACCCTCTGCAGCGGACTAATGTGTACTATTGTAGTATGAACAGAATGGCGTGCACGTCCACATCAGTTTACAGGTATAGGGATGAAACCGCAGCACACGCGACTCTACTGAGGAAAGACTGGCTTACTGCTAGGCAGCTGCTCACTCTTTGTTTGAGGGCGTGCCAAACTAGCCACCAGGCAGGCGTTATGCAAATGTGTCACATGCAGATAAGTAACAGAAGAAAAGCCTGGACTTCAAACAAAGCATTTCAGGCAGGTGAGGAGCAATGCTTTCTGCAGGGTAGAAAAACCCCCTTTGGCGTGGACTTTAGCCTTGGTAAGTTTGCAAGTCTTAGTTACAGTAAAGAAAAGAGAGAAACCCAAAAAGCAGAGTAAAGCACATCCCTGTACCTCCTTCAGTACTTTGCCCATGGCAGTGGTGTTGTCAGGGCCGAAGCGGTGGCCTGACCGGTCTGGCTCCTCCCAGTAGAGAGCTGCGAACTTCACTCCTTCCTCCTGTCATAATGATAAGAACGTTACAGAATGTCAGAATAGCTGCTAACCCTTACAGACTTTCCAAATTTGACTGTACATTACAGATAATAGCAAGCGTGCTAAAGTAACTGCTCAACCTTTTCGTTTCCTAACATCCACTTTGTCACATTCCCAACTCGTTCCTGGAATGTCACATTAGAGTTGTACGGCAAGAAGTGTGTGGCCGTGCGGTTGCTGTTGGTCACGTCGGAGCCGGGCCACATCATGGCCGCCGTCTTGTAGCCGGAGTCGAGGGCTGTAATCCAGAGGGGCTGCGCTTCGCTCCACCACATAGGGTCGGTGTCGTTGTTGATGCGGAAGTACTTTTGGGTGACGGGGTCATACATGCTGCTGGCCATGATGCCGTGAGACTCTGCATACAAACCTGTCACCTGGAAAACAAAAACAACCGCTATTGATTTTGTTGTGAATGTTAAAACTTGTTGTTATGCTCATATATTGTGTATTTGAGTTATCATAAGACATAACTGATCCTGTGTGCTTGAAGTTTATCTACGTACAAATACGTTTTGCCTGTCTTTGCTGTTACATTTCTGTAATTTGTGTGGATCTACTGTACGAGAAGATGTTGTTTCAGCACAGGCTCCGGGGTGTTTTGAAAGTTGTTGCTATGACAACAACAAAAGCTACAGATCTAAAATTCCCTGACTGATTGACAGCATACACAAGTCGGGATAAATATCTGTTTATAGCAGAAACAAACAGATAAACAGTTGGAATTACGTGTTTGTAGACAAGCATCGCATGCTGCCATGTGACAGATTATATTTCACAACAAATGCTCACCAGGCTGTAGTGGTTGGGAAACGTCTTTGTGACGAAGACGTTGGTGAGCTGCTCCACCAGGACCCCCTGACTGTATAGGAGCTTCAGGTTCGGCATGGGGAACCTCTGCAGGTAGTCGGCTCTGAATCCATCAAACGACACGAGCAGCAGCGATGGAGGACCCTGCTGGGCCGTGACGTTGTCTGTGGCCGCAGCGCTAACGCCACACAGGAAGCCCAGCAGTATTTTAAACAACATCCTGAAAGAATGTGCGAGACAGACATTTGAGTCAGATGACATTTATCTATCAGCTCTACTACAAAGGGAGCTGTGGGTAGTGCAGTTTCGATTTCACATCATTAAACCGTCATTACAGAAATGAATGTTCATTGAAAACCACTTAGCAGGAGACAAAGGCGTCAGCCAGCTTTTGCAGTAAAACAACAGAGAACAGATGTCTAGCTGGACAAAAATACTAATTTCTATGTCTTTGTGCATTTATCGTTCTTACACACAGAAGCACAGAGAGAGAAAGTCATTGCTCTTGTAATGCCAAAGTTCTTCTGTGGTCCACTTCTGCTTTGTAGGAAATGAAACTCAGTGATACCTTCATTGTAGCCACGAGCAAAGCTGGTTGTTGGCATAGTGCAGTCAAAGTATTCTGCTTAAGGCAGAAGTAGGGAGTGGTTAATCTAATAATTGAATAAAATAGTGGAGGAACTGGTAATGACAGATTCTCACTTGCAGTGACGAGTGATGGGGTGGAGTTTCCATGACAGTTTACGGCAGAGTGCAATATCCTGTTTCATAAGAATCAGATTACGGGGCGCACACACTATTGTGACTATAAAAAACGTGGTTACAGTAAAACAGACACTGAATAAATGCAGCTTTTGGGTCACATGCCTGCAATAAAGCTGCTTTCATAAATAACCCAACATGATACAGGACAATGACCACTTTCTTCTGTCTTCTTATTCCTTATTTCTCTAAAATAAAGGTTCCTTATTGACATATTGAGGCAGCTGTGTGTGAATTTAGTGTATATTGAAGCAGTAAGATTGACTTCAGACACAGTTTTTAATACAAATGGAAGACAGACAGACATTGCTACCTCAGCCTCTTCCTCTCCCCATCTGATTAAATTACATCAAGTAGCCTTTAGGACTCCTGTAACTTCTGTGAAATCAAATTTGTGACTGTAGTGGTGCAAGAAACTAACTCAATAAGACCCAAAACCTGTCAAATAAAGTAGTGAATTAAGTTTGCACACGCACCTTGCCTACTTGAGGCAATGTTCAAGGCACTACAGGTACAACAAAAGTAATTCTGTCTCATCTATCCTAAACATTTTCATTCTATAGAAATGTATTTATAATCGACATAAGCACATTTAGGAGCAAATAAGGTAGCGACGCCACCGACCGCCAGCTATGTCAACGAACAGGTCACATAACCACAACCAGGAAGACAGCGTGTTCCGAGAGGGGAAAAAAAACGAAAAACGACACTTAAAAAAACGTGAAAAAACAGTGAACATAACGCAGAAGTCAAACGGAAAACGTGTTGCCTTAAATTGGAAGGAAAAATTAACGTTAGTTTCACTTTCAGCGGCGGAGCTGGTTAGCCGTCGGCGTAGCATATATTAGCTTGCAAATGTCACAGCGTTGGCATAACAAAGCAAACGTTCTGTTTATTAATATTACCTGTTAAATGAGCTGACAGGTGAATGTTCTCCAGGAAGCACTGTTGGTTATCTCTTTATTTTCGTAGCGACATCATTAAAGAGCGTCAACAAAATACGCAAATACAGCGACGTTGTCAAGCTACCCGATATTATATGCAAAAGTTCCTGTAGGGAATTTCATAATAAATCACTCTGTGAGTCATCTCGTATCATAATGCACAATTATACATTTTTTTTTGCTTCTACAGTTTCGGTTTATATTTTAATATGCCTTTAATTGTCAAAAATAATCATAATAAACCCAGTAGTTGATATAAATTATTTTATTTATAGGTTTTTAAAATATGACTCCTTTATTTTGAAATGCAAACTTTCTACCTTTACTTTTGTCGTAGTAAACTTGCGCAACAGTCTTACAATGATTGACAGCTCATACAGCGAATCAGCGTTCAGAAATACTTGTGGGGCGGGTTATGTATAGGTGCATTTAAGTGCACATTTGAAAAAGCTGCTGCGCCCGTCAAAAATTCCTGTCATGCTTTGTTTTGTTTTTTAAAAAAATAGATGTCACATAGATTAGTCTCAATCATGTGCATCTAGTTCGTGATGTCACTTGAAAATAACTCTACAATAATGACAATGTGCCGGTCTAGATTAGTAATGCATGACCAATATGATTCCTCTCCACAATACATTGCAGCATTGTATTGCAATTTAGCAGGCAGGCACCAGAGCCACATGCAATCCTGCATACACATGTGATGGTATCCCTTCTCTATAGCTTCAGAACCAGGAACTGAAACAGTCATGGCAGATGGTGTTTGTTCCCTTCAGGCCTTTGGTTTTAGTTTGTTTCAATACACACATGCTAAAACTTGCATGAGACAAAACAGGTGCATTAAGGTAAATGTGGAAGTGTCCAGCGTTAGTTGTAAAAATCTAGACACTACAATCACCTTTAATTTGTCCTTCAGGCTTGAGCTTACGTAGCTGAGTACTTTGAGTGGTGAAAAGTACTTTAGACTCCTGAAGATGTTACACAATGAAAATAATAATAAGCTTTTTATATAAAACACTTTTTATCGATAAAAACAGTGGGTTCCAACTGTTCTGGTCCTTTACAAAAATCAGTTGGATTCTCATTTCAGATATCTGAGTTGTTAAACATTCAAATGACCCAAGATTTCACTAAAAATCAAACATCAGAGAAAAAGCCCAAAAATCTGACAACAGATTTGTTTTTCCTTTGTCTCTTTTTCATTAATCATGTGAGGAGCTCTCAGATTTATCTGTTGTCCATGTTTATAAAACTGCATATGAAGTAGTTTAAAGAAGCTCCACACAACGGTAAGACACTGCTGACACACTGATGCTTCCCTGTTAATAATCAATTGATGCCTTATATAATAAAACATCAGTCAGTATATCAATGTATATGTTTTCAGAGCTGTCCACTCACATTTACAGTCTATTGCAGTGCAAGCTGAAGGTGACACGAGCAAGGTTTAAAGTCTCTGTGGCTTAATCTTTATGTTAATTGAAACAAACAATCACTGGTGGTATTCTTTGAGAAAAATGTCTGATGTAATTTGTTTTTATCAGTTTTTTGGACTTGGCTAAAAATTAATTATTAACCTTTTGGTGATAGTTCTCAACAAATGCAATTCTCTTTTATGCACTGTGTCTTTTCTTGGCATCGCCCTCCAGCCATCCCCGTCCAAAGTCCTGGGGTGCTTTTTGATAAGACGGAGAGAGATTGTTGGCATCACGGTCACTCCTGCTGTACACCTTGACACTCTCAGCCACCGTCTCAGGACAACTTGCCTTCTTCAGCCAGGATGTCTTCCCATCACGAGAACGTGTACGAGAACCCAGAGCCCTCCTACCAGAACGAGTCTTCAGGTACATATGACCTGACCATCGAGGCAACATACGAAGAGATCACACATGTGACAGTAGAGTATGAAAACACCGGCCGGGCCTTGGGTATACCGGATCCACCGACTATGCCAGCACCAGACCGTCCTGCAGAGGACAGGCGAGGAAGTTCATCCTCCTCCTCCTCTTCTTCTTCTTCACACCATGAGGATGAACGGAAAGCGGAATCGGAGGGATCCAGTCATGAAGAGGAGATAGAGGAAGTGGAGGAAATGGAGGGATCTGAAGGATCTAGCAGGCAAGAGGAGATACAAGAAGTGGAAGAAAGACATGAAGAGGCGTCGGAGGGATCCAGTCATGAAGAGGAGAGAGAGGAAGAGAGCAGCCAAGCGATGACCTGGGAGAGGAGGTCGCCGAATGTGGAGGTGGACTCATCACGCAGGTCCTCATCTTCATCGTCATCTTCATCGGCCTCTGAGAAGGAGGAAGCTGAGCCTGAGAAACATGACTTCACGGTCACACTTTTTACGAAGGTAAGAGGTTGGACTGACTGCATGAGACTAATTCAGCTTGATTTTTTATTTTGTTGTCAGGTCGAATTGCATTGATTCATGTTGCACATTTAAAACAACAGCAAGGTTAAATGTTAAGGCTTGGACTCCACAATACTATACAAAATACAGATTTTACATTAAGTACACACATGTGAAAACACACATCCTCACAGTTTGATCAAACTTTCTTGCAACAAGTACCATGCAAGCCTCATAAAGCCAAGTCATGATTAGATTCATATCAGCTGAACAAGTGTACAAGGTCATGAAGTACCTCCTCAGATGTACATGGGTGTGTATGCATGTGGATTGTGATAAGTCATTTTATGTTCACCTCATTGTGCTGTTCACACACACACTTCTATTTATAGCTCATCAGTCATTTCTGTGCGTGTGTGATTGACGGTGTTACTCTGCTTCTAAATATAAGCGAAGTTGAACTGACAGGAATGTTCTGACTCAGTGCTGGGATAGCTGTGGATGATTCCTGCGTGTACGTGCGAGTGTGTGTTACATCTACAGTAATCACGGCGGTAACTTCCTGGAAAAATCTCTTAATCTGCCGATCTAAGTATAGTTAATAGTAATGATAATATAGAATTATAACAGATAGCAATCGTACATGGCACCATAACACACACTGAATTTATTACACTGTCAGCACATTCAACGCTAAAGTCCAGTTGTAGTGGAGCCTACAGGCCTCATAAATCTTACACTTTGAAACTACAGCTGTTTAAATTATAGCAATATAACTCAGCGGGAATTGCAGTGGGATTAGAAAGACCGAAGTCGAGCACCAAAGTATCCACACACCAGTCGATTTTCATGCTGACACATTAGCATATACTGGCTTCAATACTGTGCGTCATCAAAAAGGAATTTGGTCAGAGCTACTCATCTTTTCTAAATGTTTTTGAATTCTTAATGCCACTTGTACAGCCATTTTGACTCAAAATGGTGAATGAATGAATCAGAATCAGAAATGCTTTAGAGCTGTGAGTTCGCTCAACTTGTTAAATTAAGTTTTTAGGAAAGCAGATTTCCCAGGATGCATTGTTCGAGAGGTGAAATTCCCCAATGATTTTTTTTTAGTTTGTTAAATAAATAATCTGATGTTGGCGAGCTTCTGTGTTTGTTTCAATACAAAAAATGATCCAGTCAGAATAAAATACTTGGATATTACAAACACCATAGATGGTGAATCGATGATTTGCGTTACGCTTCATAAAGGGTTAAAGAAAACCTGTGTCGGTATTTTATATTTTTGTTGTGTCCAATCTGTCTGTGGTTCTCAGCATGAAGCCTAATGTTCCTAATGAAGATGTCAATCTTCATAATTGAGTCACAAATAAATTTTTTGGTTGTTGCTTCAAAAAAACAAAGCTCCATAACACAACAGCTGGGCACTGGAGTTTCTTTTAAACCTAACACCAGAGGACAAGATTCATAAAGGTTTTATTGTGGACTTTCTTCAGCTGACTGCTTCATTGGTGAAAATTGATAGCAGGATGATCATCGTTGGTTGGTGTACATTTTTTTTTTTCATCTGCGGGATTTTTTGGGACAAGTAGAAAAATATAAACCATCGCCACGTATCTGATAGATATATTGTGAATCTGGCTGCTGAAGTCTGCTCAATGTGCCACCATGATGAAGAAGTATGTGCATCCGAGCTGCCAGTAAACATCAAATACTCCCCACCCATCACATCTGACCCCAGTGAGAGTCTGCACCTCCGGTAACTCTCACAGAGTTTGACGTCACCCTGCAGGAAAGGCCAGGTGGGTGCAGCCCAGACAGACAGACAGACAGACAGACAGCGTGGGACCTGATGGATGCTGATGAGTCTGAGGAGGTGATTCAAAGTCACCCGGTTGTTGTCAGTCGCAGTGGAAGAGGTGGGAGGGGCAGGGCACCCTTGGGTGACTTGCTCTGCCCTTTTGCTGCTGACACCCCCGCCCCACCACAGGGGGTTTTATTTTTGTCACGCCCCACCGCCGAGGCCTCGGGTACAAACTGAACCCCTCACACTCCCTCTCCCTCCCCTGTGTCACACTCACACCGCATTCATCCTCAGCTGACACTCTGACAGAGCTGCTATGGGACCGAGCTGACTTCACCGAATGGACCTGGGATAGACTCACACACAAACAAACACACACCGACACTGTGGAAACTTAACACACAAACAAATTTTTCTTGACCATGACGGATATTGCGGCCGAGGAAGACAAGGACCCTGATATTGAACTATTTGTCAAGGTGGGGCTCTCAGTGTGTGCATTTTGGTGTGTGTGCATCACAAACTGACACTAGATCAGCTTTAGTCTGACGTCTCAATCTAAATTTTGTGTCTATTTTCCAATCCCACCCAGCATTCTGCCCATTGTAGTTGTTATTTTGTGGGTGTGAAGTCAAATTTAAGCTACATATGCAGACTTCAGCGCCAAAGCTGTGTTTTGGGCTGGCGGCTCCTTTAAGCGTGTGCATGCCATGTTGTTGTTGCATGCTGATTTTTCCGTGTGTTAACCTGACACCCACGTGCGCAGACAATCTCTCTCTTTCTCTCTCCCACTGAATTATTACTGGGGTCCTTTCAGTATTGAGAGAAGCAGCTTTAAATAGTCTAAGCTTATGATACAATATGTGTGTGGAGTTTTGTCTGTGTGTATTCATGCACAACTTTTAGCATGTGTCTTTTGTATAAGGTCAAAAAAAAGGGGGGAAAACAGGAAAACAAACCAAATTTGGATTTCTCATTGTAAATGTGAATTACTTCACACACACAGACAAAATTCATCACCCTAGCAATGTAGAAAACAACCAGAGTTTTGTATTTACATGAGTATATTTTCACCCAAACTATATGTTTTTCCTAAACTTAACCACTTAATTTTCTCGGCTAACAAAGTATTTTTGTAGAGTAAACAAAAGCAAACAGTGTCTGAAAATAAAAAATGAGCAAACTTGCCCTTTTTCTGTGTAAGAATAGGCCCAAAAAACATGGGAATCTATAAATTTTATATCCTTTATTGTGAAAAAAAACCCAATGTAGGTAGTGCACATTTTGGTGAAGCTCCACTGCCTTATGCTAAGCTAACTAGCTTTAGCTCTTTTTGTTGACCATTTTAAATATATGCAACACAATATTGTTACATAGCCAAACAGTTCCCCTACAACTAATTGAAAACATCCACTTTCCAAATGGTAAAGTGACTGCTTCCCTAATTTCCTGTCATAGAGAGAAGTGGTATGGAAATGTGAAAATGCATCATTCACCACCAGATAGTTTACACAATAGTCTGCTGTCATGTAAAGAGAGTTTAATAAAACTGGTTAAAACATATGCTCTGGATGGTTTCTGTAAAAAAATGCAACAAGTCTGCACTTGTTTCTTAAGGAGTCCTCAAAACAAGGAGGAGAAACATTTACTGCATATATACTTTTGGTGAAAGACAAGCGTCTTTGTAGGACAATGGGTCATATGATTTATACACAACATGTAGGAACCAAAAGTCCAAATAGGCAGTGAGGCAGCTAATGGAAGCAGTGTGGATTATTCATGTTGGACTTGGTGTCTCATTACAGTGTCCTGTTGCAGCTTTGCACATACACACAGACACACACACACACACACATGCACCCACCCACACACACACACATTTACCCTGGCGTGTTTGATCCTGTGTACACAAACCCAACCGCACTAGTTCAAACTAAAAGGCACTGATTCCTCTTCATGCGCCGTGTCAGTGATTTGAGTAATTGATGGAGCACTCGGTCAGTCAGCATGTCAGGAGTGAGTACATTGTGTATCTGTGTGTGTGTAAACGTGTCCAGTTTGTGTGTCTGTCCCTGTCACTGTGTTTATGGATGTGTGTATTAGCAGGGGAGTAAGTCGGCATATCAAGGATAAGCGTTTGTCTGCATGACAAATAGACGCACGGGCGGTTTTGCACACAGTCGTAAAGTACATTTGTGTGAGTGTTAGTCGCTCACCGTGTGTGTTTGTGTGCAGGCTGGAAGCGATGGGGAGAGCATCGGAAACTGTCCCTTCTCCCAGAGGCTCTTCATGATCCTGTGGCTGAAAGGAGTCGTCTTCAATGTCACCACTGTTGACCTAAAGAGGTAATAATGACATTTTATTATCGTTATATCATGTTAAAAATGCTATAAAAGACAAGCAAAGAAGATGAATAAATATGAAGTTTAACTCTCTAAGTAGTTGCCAGTACCAACTTAAAGATGGCCACATTTCAGTCTTCTGTTTGTGGTAGTTTTGCATTTAAGTATGTACACAACCTCCAGCAAGTTAGTTGCTCAAAGAACCTGAAACTGGCTGGAGCTGGCTTTTTAAACACACTAGTGGGTCGGCCATTCTGTCCATTTTCCACCTGAAATCTCACATAGAGGTCACAGTTTATATTTGTTCAGCATCTAAGCAGGATACCTTTAGAGTCAGTGTTACATTTTGCATATATGTAAAGCTCCACCTGGTGTAAATTTCTCCCCAAGTAGAGCTAAAAATTTGTATCTGCATGCAGTTTTGCAAAAGTTATGCTACAAGGGCTGCAGTGTGCATGCCTGGCAATATTGTGCATGCATTAATACAGCGTATGTGTGCAATAGTGACCTCCCAAGTGGACGAGAAAGTAGAATAGCCTGTGTGCATGACCACAGTGGAGTTCTAGCATGGTGCGCTAGCAATGCTAAATGTTAAACACTTCATTTTTGTGCAGCAAACTTATTCAAAGATTATGTTTTTTGTTACATAGTTGTACTTTTGCTTCTAAAATAAAGCCAAAAATTGTTCCCTGTAGCTGTTTAAAGTGTATATTTGTTAGCAGTCGTGCATGGACCTACGCAGCATCACGTCCACTTGAAAAAAGTTTAAGAGATGCGTTTAATTATGCTCCAAGTGCTGCTTCGAGAAATACACAATGGTAATAAACTCTGAGGTTCACACTGAAGACCATTTAATTGTTATGGGGAATTTGAGCTGTATTATGTGATCGTTTGTTCACTGCAAACTATAATGTTTTCACTGACAAAAAATGATTCCACTTTGATAAGGAAACCAGCCGATCTGTACAACTTGGCTCCAGGGACACACCCGCCCTTCCTCAGCTTCCAGGGAGAGATTCTCACCGACGTCAACAAAATAGAGGAGTACCTGGAGGCTGAGCTTTCGCCACCAAAGTAGGGCCTCACACACAAACACACTCGCACACAAAAGGGTATCAGACAGCAGGGCAGCCAGCACCCTGACATCATGTTAACACCTCGTTCCTCAGGTATCCCACACTCGCTGCCAAGAATCGTCAATCCAACACAGCAGGAAACGACATCTTCGCCAAGTTCTCAGCTTATGTCAAGAACACGAGACCAGATAAACATGAAGGTGAGGACGCGATCCAGAATTTAACTTTATTAATCGCTACCAAAATCTCAACAGAAGCATTGGTTTATCATCTTTAATGATCTGTGTTCCAGCGTTGGAGAGGACTCTAAACAAGTCCCTGGCTCAGCTGGATGCGTATCTGTTGAATCCGCTGCCGACGGATGTTCAGTCGGGACGCCACAGCGGTGATGGAGAGTCTAACCGCAAGTTCCTGGATGGAGATGAACTGTCGCTGGCCGATTGCAACCTTCTGCCCAAACTTCATGTCTTCAAGGTAACCGGCCTCTGGAGTGATTTCTTTACATTTGGTTCATTTCATTTCATAAATTTGGCCTTGATGGCAGCATTACTGCTTGTTTTTGGCAGGTGGTTGCAAAGAAGTACAGAAACTACGACATCCCGTCTGAATTCAGAGGGCTGTGGCGCTACCTTGGCAACGCCTACGACCGAGACGAATTCACCAACACCTGCCCGGCCGATGCGGAAATCGAACTAGCCTACAAGGACGTAGCCAAGAGGCTGGGGAAATAAATGCACCTCAACCACAAGCACTAAAGTAGTCTGTAAAAAAATCTAAAGAATCACACTCTTAACACTAATGTAGAAAATATTACTAAATGCAGCACAGCAGTTGCACGGTGCTAAAACTAAGTCATCACTTTTTTAAAGGTACTGTGCAGCAAAAAGTTTGATGCCTTGAAAAAATTTTAGGGTTGTGATGATTATGTCTGTGTGATTTAAAAAAAAACAAAAAACGTTAGGTGACTTTTATTTATTAAGGAAAAATGTGAATAGTTTGAAACACAAAACACAGAAAACTGAATAATTACGAATGAACTGAACAATTAAGAATTAAACAGAGAAACAATAATCTATTTGTGAAGAAATTAAAATGGATAGTAAACGTTTCGAACACTTTTTCATATAATTCATACTGATGGCGGGAATTAAACAAAGAACTGCAAAGCACCACGCTACCAGAGGATGTTCATTTTTGGAGCTTTTCAAAACCAAAAAAAAGTGCAAAGAATAAATTAAACATTGTTATTATGTCTTTGCTTCAACTTGTGCGGCAAACGTTAGCATGTGTTGCTAGTTAGCTTAATCAAGTGTTGCTACCAAAGCCAAGAAGCATAGCATTAGCTAACCTTTAGCTTTTGCCAGAAAATTCTGCATTAGTTGCTGTCTCTTTGCGTAATATCATGGCTGTAGCTCTGAAGTGCTCATTTAAGATGTCTCTATTGATTCTTGTTAAAAAAGAAATGATATGGAAACAAACTAAAAGCATTTTCGAGCAGTTTATGAAGCTAATATTAGCTTTCTCGGCTAACTTGCTACAGCTAAGCTGGAATTTTACTTGGTAAAACTGACAGCAGCAGGACAAATAGACTCGTTTTGCATGTCTATCTGTAATTAAAACCCCTTTTTCTTTTGGAAGAAAAAGATTTTGGGTACATTTAGGAAGATGGGTGTGAGCAAACAGAAGTGTCAAAGTTGAAGGAAAGAATGAAGTTTTGCTAATAAAGCCAGTGCTATAGGTATACTTTCCCAAGCTCTGTTGAAGTATTATCCGCTCACTAAACAATTCATTGTCATAAATTTATTTTACAGGAATATTGAGATGCGTAGAACAGGGTTTGATTGCCTGTCGCCTTTTCCTTCCGTGGATTTATGTATGATTTGCATTTAAGTATCCACATTGCAGGGTGTTATTGGAAAACACTGCTGCGCATGTGTTTCAGCCAAAGTCTTTAACTGGTGCAGTGTCAGCTTTGTAGGCTTTAGAGATGTGGTGTCTCTTTTTCCTAATGCAGCAATGAACATTTTATTTGACTAGTTTAATTTTGTGTTTCAGACACATCTCCTTTGAAGGTTACAAATCTCCTCCTGTGTTTTTATAGCCACACACCACAGTTTACAGTCCACACTTACACTGACAGTCCTTATCTATAAAGGCCTATCGTTGCATTTCAGATTAAAAGCATGTCGTCATTCTGTTAAATTAACAAAGAAATTAAAAAAAAAAAAAAAAGTCTTCATGGAATCACGAAAAAGACAATGTAGCCATCCAGTTGTGTTCTTATGCGATTTAATGCACATTGATGGTAGTGAATGTCATTTTAATTATGAGTGCCTTAGTGGGAATCAAGCTCACCTCTGCCCTCAGCTCTTTGTGTCTGTACAGTAAATTATGTTTGAATATAATAAGAATGTGAATTTTCCAAAGGCTTTTTCCATCTCTGCGGAGCGGTGTGAGATTACTATGTCTGTAAATGATCAGCAGCTTTATTCATAATCTTTCTGATGATTAGAACCTTGAAGCCACTGTGTATACTATGTCGCTTATTTGAATAATAAATCTATTTTCTCAGAGACCGAGCTTCGGGGTTGTGGTTTTTCAATGGGAGCTGACATACCTCAAGCTGATGTATGAATGTGGTGTATCCATACAAAAGTTCCTGCAAGTAGGCTGATTTGTAGATGAAAATGCATGTCATCGTAGGTGTAACATGTGAGTGAATCCACGTGCTTATCTTACTGAATCTTGGACGTCATCTGCATATATTTAGCATGATTAAAAACATGTGCCCATATATAGCTATTTGAGCTGCCACAATCCCTCCTTAATCTGTCATGATCAATAAACTGAAAAAAAAACAAGGTGGTGCTATATTTTATTGTCTGAATACTGTTATAAGTGTCTGCGGGAACTCAAGATCCTCTTTACAAGATAGTAGCTGAGTCAGAAAATGCTCGGCTTGCAACACTACAAGGGCCGATGTCCAATATAGACCTGATAATACAGCAGCTGTTGCAATACCTGAATGCTTTTCATAACCATACAGGGGCCCATTGCTGTGCAAAGTCAGAGCAGAATGACAACCAGCAGATGGCAGCAAACACAAAGTTTTGACTGGTTTGAACAATGGAAACCCACAGTTAGGGATCGTCTCCCAACAAATGTCACTTTTATATCCACCATGCAGACCTGCTGGGAATCAAACATTGTGTCTGATTTTTCTATTTTTCTCTCTTTTTTTGGATGATTTGCAAGTTGTGGGATATGGTAATATGAACACATTTTAAAAGGTTTCTTCTGATCTAGTGTCTTAATTAGGAACAGATTCTTAAAAAGCAGTGTTTTTCTTAGAAATGATGTGGTGAAGCGTTTTAGCTTTATGACACACTCTCCATATTGGTATTCCGTATTGTCTCTGTAGATGAGTGCAAAATACTTCACTGTAAGTTAGAGCTCTGCATGCAAAATTCCATTTAATAATAAGTATGACAGTAAAATAACTGAAGTATCAAAAATACTTGATGCAGGAAATGTACATTTTATGATTAATACAGTGGTGTGAATGTGATTCTGGTTGCACTTCATGGTGCAAATGGTGAGCTTGGAGGTAATTTTAAATGTAATTCCTGGCAATCGTACCAATAAACAAGGAAACCTCTGTCTGCATCTGAGTCTCTGTTCTTTGTATATTTTCAAAACTTTCCTAACTAAAGCCCCTTTTGGCGCAGGTGTATCGCTGGGAACCCAAGAAATTTCAAGTCTGCACTCGATTGGAACAGCGTTGGCCACTTTTGGGGTCTTTTTCGTGTCAGAACTAGACCTTTTACTTCCTGTGAATGGAGCTTGAGTTGCCCTTGTTGCTAAGGCAACATCATCAGTGTCAAATGCATGATGTGATGTAATGATATCACACTTGGCATTATGTTTTATGGCTCTGAATGGGCACCGCTCTGGTGTGGCTAATGCGACATCAGTATAGGAAAATGGATGGTGTTAATATCAGCTTTCAACTGACGTTGGCTTCTTCAACAGACACTGTTTTCAATCAGCGGCGAGTTTCACATCAGCTTTGACATACTGATGAACTGGTGTATGCAATTCTATAAACTCATTATAGAGAGGAGAAGTCTGGCTCCTTCTGGTGTTTCTCCATTAAACCTTTTCACAGAAAAACTATGTAGTGACAGACAAATGGTTTTGTAATCCTATTTGAAGTGTGGTATGATTCATATGTGTGATATTTGACAGCTTCAAAGATTTTTCTTGCAAGTCTGAAAAGTTGCAGTTTGTCCTCAAAGTGTCATAGACTGTGAAAATACTGCACATAATTAGAGATGCCACGACCCAAAGTTGCACAAGTGGTGTTATTTTAACTGTCCACAAGCCAGTTCAAAACTATTTCAATTAAATAATGTATAATTAGTATGAATAGGCGCACATTCAAAGAGGCTACAACCCCAAACAAAACAGACAAAAGAGGACAGAAGTTTACATCATGCTTATGTGCCTGCAGGGATAATATGAGAAAAGCTGACTGACAGGATAAAAGGCACTTGAACATACATCTCAGAGCTTTACAGTATGCTCATCACCGGAGGGCTCAACTACAGAACACGATTAACGAGGTATGTTGAGCCTAAAGTCACAGTTTTCAGTGTCTCTCTTTTAACCTGCTAGATCACCGTGGTAACTGATGCTGCACTGGTAACCCACTCTGAAGAAGGTTAATTTCAAAGTTAGCGATTTAAATCAGTTGTAAGAGGCACGTCCAGACCTGGTGACTGTATGAGTTATACAGTTTCTCAGCTGATAGAATATATATTATATATATTATATCTGCAAACCTGGTACAGTATCTAAAAATGTATATGTCGTGTTGCCACAGGAACCCACATATATTGGTGAGGTAGAAAATGCACAAATATGGCTTTGTGTTTGACCTTAATTTGACTTTAAGTCCATTTCACACCGCTTGGTTTGCAGCTAATGGATCAAGCATTACTATATTGGTATTAATCACAGAATATTAAATCAGTAACATTAATTTCATTTTGATTTAGCCTCACACTAAAGCGATTATGGTACAGTGTCTGAACTAAATCCACTTGTTCAATATCATGTTCAAATGAATGAAGTTCAAAACGCAACAGCTCTGATGTGCAGCTGTCATATTAGAATTTAGTATTGAGAGTGCACTGAGCTGTAAAATAAATATGTGAAATCACATGACTAAAGATTTTCCACGAGCATTCCTCCCTTGCATTTGTAACACATTTTAAAATTCCTCATAGCTTCCTATCATACCAACCTGTTCCTCTAGACTGAAATAGGCAGCTCACGATTGTCCCATTTTGTGCGGATGAGAGGCACATTTATTTATTTTAAAGATATTTTTTTGGCTTTATTAGATAGGACAGAGAGAGAGACAGGAAAGTGGCGGAGAAGAATGGGGAAAGGACCAGCAGCAAGGGGTCATAAGCGGGGACTGTAGGCCCTATACATGGAGCACTAGCTCAACCAAGTGGGCTGTAGCGACGCCCCATAAATGCAGGGACATTTTTTTACTGTAAATATCCCTGACATTCTTTTGCACATTGGTTTCCTTATCTGTCTTGAATGTGACATCTGTGAACGACCTTGAAACTTGCTTTGCAGTACAGACAAATGAATGCATAAAAATGAACCAGAATGCAGGAAGTGTTTCAAAACTTCCTAGAGGTTTATTTTGTATTTGTTCATTTTTTTATTACCTCTATCCAGTGTTGCCAGTCCCTAGTATGGTGTTATTTTTCGTTTTTTGGGGGGGCCGGTAACACGCACACGGTCCCTAAACTCTGCTTCGCTTTGTGCCAGTGGGCAGAGCGAACACAGGGGCTCGTGCTCTGCGCCTGGAATCTCATCTTTCCAGTCAGAGCGACACAACGACGTCTCCTCTCGCTCCTTTCTCGGCGCTTTTTGAGTGTTATTACCGCCTTATAACGACCCTCCGGGGCTGCCGACGGAAACCGCTACGAAGGTAAGACCCGTTCCTGTCACCGTTATCCTTCAGGAGCTCGTTTTTTGCCGATTTGTCGCGTCGGAAATACCGGACGGACGGTACGGAGAAGGCGCAGTGTTTCAGGGAGAGTGGGCGACTTGTCATTGCGGCGGAGCGTGTTTTTGTTGTGAGACGTGTGGTGGTGGTGGTCGGTCGAGGTAGCTAGCAAAAAAACCCAGGGAACAGGGAAGCTAGTGCAGGCAGGAACTGTGGTAGCTGGCTTGTGAAGGCGGCTGGCTGGTGGGTAACAGAGCTGGGGAGCTAACGCTAGCTGATTTTTTCTTCCAGCCAGTTAGAGAATCAGGACGTTCATCGCCGCAGCGAGCAGGGGGTCCCATTGTTATTACACGGCCGGTTTAGCTAGCTTCTAAATGAAAGTACGGTGGGATACAACGAGCAGCTAGCATCACTGAGCAGGAAACAGGTTGTCAAGAGAAAAAAAGCTTCAACTCCCAAGTCCTCTACATAAACGATGAGTCCTCTTAGCTGTAATTCACCACAAGTGACCCTCGTTGTTTCAGTATTTACAACATTCACACAATCAATGACCTTCTTCCTCTTTCCTGATCTTCCTTATATTCTTAGGACAGTTTCAGTAGACACAGCTAACCGAGCTTTTTTTTTCACACACCTTCCACAGATGATGTTTTGGTGACAGGCTGTGAAAGTTAATCATGTTAATTCATGCCCTGTGGGTCCACAGCCTTTCTCTTTTTTCCCCCCCAGTTATGCTTCGCTGCAAAGACCTGTATTTTTGGCCAGCAATATACAAAATAACACCTGAGAATGCCTTGGGAGCAGTGTCTGCTACATAACTAATTCATTATGGCAGACTTACAAGCCAAGATTACTGAGCTTTATGTTTGCTAGAAGTTTTTTTTAAGTGCAAGCAACACTGGTCATGCCTTATAAATACAATCAGCTCTAAAACTGACATTGCAGTCCTGTGTTTTTCCTCTAATATAGAATATTTTCTCACCAGATGACTCGAATAGCTATTTAGAAAGAATAATTCTGTGTGGAATGATTGGCTGGTTATGCAGGGGAGCAATTCAGAATTGGACAAAAAATATTTTTTAAAAGCTGAAAATAAAAAAATCAATTTGGAGCAAGTTTCATATAACGCTGGCGAAGACACCCAGAAGTGTTATTTTTTTGCTTGGGATGGCATTTAGATGTGGACACTCGTCATGCAGAGCTGTGTCAAACAAATCAGTATGGAGAAACTGCTGACACAGTACCTGTTTTTGGTCAACATCATCCTTTCTGGAATATTTCCGTGCAGCAGCAGCAGCAGCATTTCTTTTTGCAACCAGATCTTCCCGTTCAGTGTTTCAATCCTGTTCCTTAGACACTGTGCTGTACAAAGGGATTGGTTGTCTACGTACTTAAATCAGAGTATGTGTCAGTCAGACTTTTATTGTAGGCGAGTAACGGAAATTGAAGTTTTCTCTTTTGTAGTATGATGTGTTGGTGGTTGTTTTGACGTACTTTACATTTGCACTTTCTGCACATGTTGATGCTGAAATTGTGCGACGCTGGAAACAACGTAGGGCGAGTGAGAAACCGTTAGCTCACCGGTGCAGTCCAGTAATTTTCAGCCTGCACCACGAGTAACCTCGTGTAATCAGGTTTCTACTTGCCGATCTGATTATCCGAGATGTATCCTGTGTCATTATCATGCAAGCTGCAAATGTAATTGTGCGTACTTTCAGCGAGGAGATGCTGGTTTTTGGTGGGTGATCAGCAACAATGATTACAAGATAGATTTCTCCACAAGGACCCTGAAGTATATTTTATCTTATTCATTGTGACCCAGCAAAAAAAAAATTCCCCTCCTTCCTGCTTATGATCCTGGAGCGTACGCTGTGAGCTAATGCTGAGCGTAGTGACCATCCAGAGGTGAGCCACTGACTGCCCCTGGCTTTATAAAGAGCTCTTTCAGCCGCCTTTTTTGCTGGAGCCTTTGGGATTATAAATCCTGAGGAAAAGGAGCTTTGCTTCGGTGGCATGCTTCACTGGCAAGAAATCGTTGGAGGGTGTGAGTGTGAGGAGGTGGAGGAGGGGGGTGCACTGGTGGGCTCGGGGTGGAGAGCCAGCAGAGGCAGTGGAGGGATGAGGAAGGAGGGATTGAAGATGGAGGGATCGGGGAGAACTGAGCTGTGGTGATGGATGCCACGCAGGAAAGTGGAGCACTTGGCCTTTCTGTGATTAAAGGGCTCCTGTTCTCTCGGCACAAATGCACACACTCACATACACACCTGCCTTTTCTTATTTGTGTGGTCGATCTGGCTACTGGCCGCTAAGACGAAAATTTCTGTATCTCCAAAGCCAGCGATCCCTAACAGTGATTCGATTTCTAATGGTATTAAATGTCAGGTTCACTATGAAGAATACTTACGGCCAGGCAGAGGTATAAAAACAGCTTTTTGGGGTAAAAAATCGTGCCATGTTCAGCCAGAAACCTCGCTCCATGCAAATGCATTCACAAGTCAGCCTGCTGTTTGGAGCTCTACGTTTGCAAAGCCCTCATTTTTTCAAGCAGAATGTGGCACAGTTTAGTTCTCTTCCTAACTTGATTTCAGTTTCAGGACAAAAAGACTTGAGAACAAAAAAAGGTTAGCTCAATAAATGTGGTTAGACTTGCTTGCCAGCATAGATGACTGTCACTGCGACTAAAAATCTTCCATGTCAGGCCGGACTTTATTTCAGACCACAGACAGAGAAGGTACCACTGCTGATGTCTTTTAAAGCGTTTTAGAGGATTTGGACTTGCATTAGGAGTGAAGACCAGAATAAGGATTAGTTTTATGTCAGGGAAAGTGCTATGAGTTAGTGCACAGGTTTAGGGATTTAATGTAGTCAGTGAAAGGCCTGCTGGTATCAGTGTGTGTGTTCGCATACGTCCCGTTGCATAACAGTTCACTGCCCCTAAACGCTTAAGTTATAGAAAAGCCATGTCAGCTGAAAAGAGTTTGCAGTTTTTTGCCAACAAGTAATTTTGTTGTAGGAAAATCTTTTATTTTTTTTGATGTGCCACCTTGTGTTATCATTAACAACAAAGGTTGTACGCGGCGGTTGACAGGAAAAAGCAAGCGTTGCTGTGTCTCGCTTCGACACTTCATCTGCAATTCTCACCCACTCTTTTGTCAGCGGGCATGTTTTCGACATGCAGGTCAGGTTCCGGGTGGTCTTGTCCTCTCTCTCGTTTCATGTCAAGTGGTGGCAGGTCAGACGTGTCAGTACTACTCTTAAGGAAAGTCACACCTTAACAGATATAGTGCTTCAGACAAGCATACCAATATATTGTATTAACAGCAGCTGAGGAGCAAAAGGAAACCTGTCTATCCGAGTGTATAAGGTTTGCACGGAGCTTGTATTTGGTTTGTGGGTGGCCATAGACATCAGAGGATGCAGAGCGATATATGAAATGTGAAGAGCAGTTCCTGTGACGTCTGTCATGCAGTTCTTGGCCGGAGTTGGTCACCGGTATTTCCCAGAAACAGTAACTTCTTCTTTTTTTTTTTAAAACAAAACCGTTAACTGCCCTGTCTTTTCCTTCCTTTTGTATTTTGGCTACAACTTTTTCTTGATAGTTTGTCTCCAAATGATAAAAAAAAAAAAGAGGACTGAAAGGGAATTAAAAAAATGAGTTTGCAAAACTGCAAAGAAATTTTTGGCTTACCTCCAAATTGACTTCCTTTTCCATGACAACAGTGTGAAATTCAGCATGTTTGGTTTCTCCCTGTTCCAAAAGTGCTGAGGCGATTCCTTTTGTGAAGACAGCGTTGAGTTTCACTGATTCCCACCAGCGAGGGGGAAAAAAAACGCGTATCTTCACAGGCGCTCCGGGTGTTGAGGCTGTTCGGGGACTCTGCTCAATCAGAGCGACCTCTTTCTAAAAGGTCCCTGGCGTTTTTACAATTTATTGGATTTAGCCTTCCAGGGTGGTGTTGAAATGATTCTCGTGAAGGTTAAAGGTGGAGATCAGGTGGAAAAAAATCTATCACAAGTCAAATCACAATATATGTCAGAAAAATCGCAAGTAGTAATTATTAGTGATAATTCGACATCTGTTAGTTGTTATTAGTGATTCTTAAGTAGGAATTATTCCTATCATTCCTGCAAACAGGATTCAGATGATTCACTCTTAAAACATACCTCACATAATTAGCATACAAATCTTACAAGAAAGAACTTGTTCAGCTTGACTCTGCATTCAACGGAAATCTTACAGGAAAGCATCAGCTGTGTTAGTAACCGGTCAGATTCACAGAACCTTTAAGAATGAGCTTAAGATATGATTCACTTTTAACCATATCTCACCACAATTAAAGTAGGAAGATGACATCGATTTTTATGTTCCACAAATGACATTAAACAGAGGAACAAAGTGGTGATTGCACAAATAAAACACTCTTGTGCAATATCAAAGAAGTAATAAATCTAATCACAATAATTACATTGGCTCTAAGTTGAACAGTCGGGTATTTGCTCTGATGTAAACATTAAAACCAACAGTTTACATTATTAAAAATACAGACCTCACAGTAGGACATCAGTGCAACAAAACACTTGTCGTTACTGAGATTCAAATCTTTCATTTTCGCTGTGTTTCTGATGACTGATTCAGTCCTCCGTGCTGAGTGGGATGATGCTGGAGGATACCACAAGTTCTGTCATTTCTTAGAAACTACCTCAGTGCTTCACTGTCAGGACTATTTATCCTGATTAAATCTGAGCAAAGAATGTGCTCAAAATAGTCAGTAGCCTGTTTTCCGCGTTCTCGGCACTTGCCCGTCCGGTTTTTTTAAACAACTGTCATTTTAGGAGGAAAGCCACTTTAGCTGTGACTACTGTTAGTATGGATCATTTTATACTTCCTGATCATTGCTGAAACATGTTTTAACTGCTCACAGATCTTCACACTTCTCACAGTTACATTTATACTTCCTTTTTGGGAATTCTTTTCCATATGT